TTGCTGCTAAGGATTTATCATAATTAAAAAAAATATGTATTTTATCTTTAAATGTAAATACATAAATAATTCAAAAAAGCTTTTTATAGGTATTTTGGGTTTGTGTGGCAAAGTTTTGGAGGCTGGGGGGTTAGAGGGGTGGCTTCTGTGAAGAATTGCCAGAAACTTCCCCTGTGTCTGATAGAGCCAATGCCAGGCTCTAAGAAAGACCCTGACAGAATCTGCCAGAGACAGTGGTAGTGCCTCTGGGATAAGAGATTTAAGGGGAAAAATTTTCTATGTGACAAAAGGTTTTTTTAGGATTTGATATTATTTTTCATTTCACTGCTCAGATTTGATTGGTAATAAATTGAGTGTGATTTGCCCGTGATGGTAATTGGTGAGTGACCCAAAGGTCTTTCAAAATATTTTTCTCTCCCCTGAGGAGGAGATTGATAGAGCACCTTTGGTGGGCACACAGTGTCCTGCCAGGGTCAATCTCCCACAAGAGATGATGTGCAAATCTTGGCTCTATGATTAAATCTTTATTAAATCTTCCTTAAATTTTGCTTAATTTGGGGGATTTTTATGATTAATTTCGAGATTAAATTTAGGTTAATCTTGATGACCTTGTTATTAAGCAGAGCTTTAATTTATTTTCTGAGAGTCCAGTGTGGGATATTAATCTTTCTTTTCATAATGAACATTTAAGATTCTTTATCTTTCATAAATGAAAATGGACATGTAGGCAGGAATTTTTTTGAGGCTAGTATGATTTATCACTTATCTTTTAGAAGGACGTTGAAGGGGAGTGTGTAAATTCTTGGTATGTTTAAGCTGAAGCTGATAACCTAGTGAAGCTTATGAGAAAAGATAATGGATACAGTGAACTGTTGTTTTGCTGGGTTTCCATGAAATGTAGATGTTTCCCAAATACTTCACAAGCAATTGAACAAATTTGATTGATCCAAAATACAATTAGTAGTTTGATAAAATAATCATGGCACTTAGAATTCTGTCTTCTTAGTTTTCTATTCCAGCTGTTGGTGGGGTGTTTGTTTCTGATGGACTGCCCACTTTTTTCTTTTTTTTTTGTCTTTGATTGTTGAGGGTGACTTGATGGCTGCTGCCACCACTGCAGGTGTGGCAGCTCGTGGCTCTGGTTGATGCTGTCACATCCAGCTCTTCTGGGCTGTGTATGTAGTGTCGTTTGAAAGGAGGAGATGCTAATGACTGTCTTGAACCCCAGTCCTTTGGGCCTCATCAGGTTGCTGAGGTCACACCACTCTGGTGTATTACTCTTGATTACTGCTGCTGCTGCTGTCATTTCTTTCAGAAGCATGATAGTAGAAATCTAAGGTGAATGTGGATTTAGGTACTGCAAAATCCAAAAGCATTTGAATGTCAGCACTGTGCTTCTAGCCCAGACATTGAGCAGATGTATAAATCACTGTGGCAGGATGTGTGTTTCAGTAGGTAAGGACAAATTCCAGTGGTGGGGTACTATTGAAGAAAGATTTTCAATTATATGTCAGCAGTGGCTAAAGGAATGTGGTGGTGATAGGTAACGGGACAGTGGTTATACTGAACTACTGTTTTATTGAGTTTTGGGGAAAATTATAAATGGCTTAGACGGAGATTTCTGGCTTGTCATTTGCAGCATATTAGCAGACTGTTGCCAAAATGTTAGGCAATAAACATGAATGGGTACTTGAGTTCAGCTGCTGAACTTCATTGGAAGGCAGTGAATGTTCATCAAGCTGATCCATTACCTTCCCTGAGCAATGCTATTACATTCATTGTGGACAGTCGGCCAGCAGATAAATTAGGGTGCTATTAAGTTCTGACTTACTGTGTACTTTTGTCAGATGTGGTTTTATGTTTGCATGGTTTAAGATTTTGTTTAAAATGTAGACAATTTTGAACAAATGGGTGGGGAAAAAAATATATCACTGCAGGTTTCACACATCCACCACCTCTTCTCCTTGTGTTTTCCACACAGGATGTTGCACTAGGTTTGTCTCTTACTGCCTGGAGTTATTGAAATAGCATGCAGGCAATTGACTGTTAAAACAGAGAAGGAGAGGCCTGAATTTGCTCATATTTTAAGTCTTAAGGATAGTCTGTGAGGGGTTTGAGATGCTTGGCCTATCTTGTGTTGTACTAGATAAAACACTGCAGCACTGGTTGTAGTGCTGCCTTGTATTGGTTGTTTGCCTGCCTGGAAATATCTCCGTATGTTGGTAAGAGGAAAGGTGGCAGTGTGCTCCGTGAGAGGAAGCCCTTGGTTCAAGCAGTTGTTACAGGGTTGATTTTGTCGTGGGTTGATAATCTGTCCTGATAAACTTTACTCATGTGCACATGGTAAATACACACTTGCTTGTTCTGCGGGTGCAGCCATGATGTGCACACAAGGAGGTTGGGATTGCTTGCTGTGTATTAACAGGCCCGTTGTTATTGCTAATCAGAACTCTGATAACTAAAATTAATAGTGGGTACGAAGACAAGCAATTAAGGACATTCGTCTTCCAAATGAGTCTAAAAGATTCATTGGTAGTTTAAATTTATATACTGAGGGCACTTAAACCATTAAAAAGGGTAATGGGTGCCCTGCAGGCATGTGCTTCAAAGCCATATGTCATTTCGGTGCTAGGACAGCAGACTGATAACTTCCCTTTAAGGGAAACTGCTATTCATTTATCAATAAAATGTTGAAGGAAATGTACATTTTTTTTTTGCTGCAGAGTGAGCATAGAAGTGTAATGTAAGTTAAATCAAAATTCAAGATTTATGTTCTAAGTCTTTTTGGCTTTATCATAATAGATGTTAATTAGAAAAGTCTCTCACTGGTAACAGAGGGCATTGGAGTTGAGGCATTGAAAAGTATAAATATTTCTCAGACACACATTCTTTTCTTGTGCCTTGCAGACTTTGACAGTGACACTGATGTAGTAACCAACTTAGTACAGGGAATAAAATACTGTGGTGTTTTTTTCGCTGCTGTTGATGCTCTGCTTTTGTTGTCACAGGGTGATGTTTGAGCAAGTGTCATTAATACAGAGATAAGAAATTTACAGCATAAGAAGTTTTAAGGGTTTGTGGTACTAGGGTTTAGAACAAATTTTTCTTCAGTGTAGAATTTTCTTTCTGTCTTGGCATTGTCCTTGCCAGCTGAAATATTGGTTAACAGGTACTTCGGGGAGTGCCTGGGTAGGTGCTCTGCAATGGTTTTTGGTGATGCAGGATTATCTAAAATTTTGTTTTGTCATTCATTCAAAATGACAAATACTTTTGCAGATTTGTGGGAACTACTTGAGTTATCCCAAATTGAAGATGCTACTCTTGGGGTGGGACACTGTAGATTTGCTTATGGAATTTCATGAAAAGAACTTTCTCTTCCCTAGATATGAAATCTGTGCAAATTCTCTATCTGTGTGGTACTTGAATATGCTGTTTTAGTGGGTTAAAAACGTATTCGTTCTCAGTTTGGTGACATACATGCACATTTTTCCTTTGCTTTTTCTCTGGCCTTTCTGAGTTCCACACCATGTATGTCTTGTACAGAGGGCAGGAATGAGCACAGGCTGTAGCTGTTGCTGATCTTCAATCTCCCCTTTTCCACCTCCAGCCCATTCACCTCCTAAGTGCAGCGTGAGCTGGTGAGACCCTGGCAGGCCTGGAAGGGTGTTGGCTCTTTGTGCTGTGGTGGTGACTCATCATAGGGCAACACTGGAATATTGTAATAAGGGGTTATTGTTTGTTCTTGCAGTACTTGTCCCATATTTTTGTATTTAAAAAGACAGACAACAAAGTCAATACAAGTTCCCCTGTTGTTCTAGCAGTGTCTTAACAAAGGTAACTTTTGTTGTGACGAGCATTGTTATTTGGATTGATGTGCCCGAATTACTGAGGAGAGGGAGAAGACGATGCAAGAAATCTCCCCTGACTTTCAAAATTTGTCTGTAGTCTAATTCTTGGGTTCTTATATAACTTTTATGGATTAAAAAACGCCATCTAAATAATGATGAATGCACTGTGTTTGCTCTTTCTGTCTCTCCTGCTATTGCCTTTTGTTTTTGAGTAGGAGGAGCAAGCTCTAGGGCTGTGTGCCATGCATAGAGATAACAGCTGCTGCAGAATTGTATGCATGACATCTGTATTTTCTTGCCTTTTGGCTCTGCTTTTTCTTTGACCAGGCTCTTTTGATTCCTTTGTTTCTTCCTTCTCAAACCTTGATCTTTTTCTGTGATTGTCATGCTTTCTTCTCTCTTTTCCCAGCCTACTTAATGGTCTTGAGTTAAGAATGGAATAAAAAACTTAGTGAATGAGACAGGGCAGACGTTAGTGTGCTACATGGGAATTCTGTCTTTCTTTCTTTTTTCCTCCCATCATTTACATTCCTTCCATTCTTCTTTCTCTCTGTCATTTCTCACAACTTTTGTTATAATGTTTTCTTATCTGTTGTTTGTGTAACCCTGAAAAAAATGCCTTGCTATGTTATGCTAGACTGATTTAGCAAATCAAGATTACCCAATTAATTCTGTAGCAATTATTTAATTTCTAAGTAATTTTAATTAATTTTCTGACTGTTTTGGGCACAGTATTTACCCTTGTTGTCAGTGCTTGGACTGCTTATGCTTCCAATGCATCAGAGTTCTTGATTTTCATCTTTGAGCTTGGTCTATTTTCAGTTTCCCCTGTGGTTTAGATAGCATGTTGCTTTTTGTCACACAGACCCTGAGATAGGTTTCACTTGAATTGGTGACTTCAGGCTATGATTTGCTCTGACAGAAGGTGCTCTTGAGGGTAATTGGTTGTGTGGAGTAGTGATGTTTTTACCAAAGAGGGGAACACTGGTGGGTGAGTGATTTGCAGGTTTTAGCTTTGTAAATGCAAGCCTTTGAACTGTGGTATAGGGCTGTGTGGGCACTGCAGTTGTGATGGGCCCCAGAGAAACACCCCTGCTTGACTCTTGGAAGATCTCTGTTTTTAAATCAACTAATAACAAGTTTCTTCTCTAGGAGGATGCACGTTTGATGATGGTCCTGGGCCCTGTGACTACCACCAAGACCTGTACGATGATTTTGACTGGGTCCATGTCAGCGCTCAAGAGCCTCACTATTTGCCACCTGAAATGCCTCAAGGTGAGAAACCTCACAGATACTGAAGGATAAGTTTCTTTATAAACTTGGAGGCTCACTGAATATGTCCTCAAGGCCATGGTCTGAGATCTCCACTTTAGCCTTGGTAATGGAGGTAATAAAAAGGAGCAAAAAAAAAAATATATTTATTAACTCATGGTAACTGAGAAGCCTTCTTATACCCCTTTAAAGCTGGGGTGAAGCATAGGGAAGGGAGAAAGGAAGCCATAATTTCCTCTTTATTCTGTGTGGAATTGCTGTTGATTTGAAGTCAAAATCTGTATTTTGTATGACAGCCAATGTATCAATTCAATTATTCAGGTAGGCACTAGAAGAAATGGTGAAAAAAGGGATACATGCAAAAACCCGATACACTGATTCCTTCTTTCCCCTCCCCCCCCAACCTCCTATCATCTGAAGGTAATCAGAAAAGCTTTGATTTATGGAAATATTGCTGTTGTTAATTACTATTTAGGACAGGTAATGAATAACCGAAGAGGCACAGCCTACATGACCTTGCCTGCTCACCTTTGATGAACAGCTTAATCGGCGCTTCCCAGACAGCATGATATGCTGAGAGAATGAAAGCATTTGAAATTCAGCTACATTTTCCAATTAATAATACATTAAGTAATTAATCATGCAGAGGAGGAAAAAAGGTCATGGCTATTTTATTTGTATCTAAAAGGTTTTGTGAAGTGAGGTATGTGTGGAGAAGGAGTGGGAAATGTTGCCACACAGAACCTCACCTCTGCACCATTCCTTCCTCTGCTTTTTGTGCACTGTTGCAAATTAGGTGGTTCACCTATATAATTTTACTTCTTGACTGATTCCTAGCTGGGTTCCCCCTGCTTCGGAGTCACTGATAACGAGGTGTTACCTTACACAATAACGTTAAAAATAGGTTAATTAAGCAAGACCCACACTTTATTTAATGGACTTTTTGGTGCTTCGGTTCTGCATAAGGAAGAATACATTTAAAGCCTGAAATGTCAACATTTGTAATGGCCTTATATTTAAACAAGTTCAAAGCAAGGCAGAAATTAGTAACTATTCAGTTTGAATTTTTCAGAATGTACATTTTTTTATAAAGGCTGGAGGTATCTTAATTGTGATGGAAACACCGTTTTGGGAAAAATTTGGTATTCTCAGACCTTTGGCACACCTTGTGTAGGAAGAAGAACAATTTGAGGAATTGCATTTGGAATTAATATAAATTACAAGATAGCTTCTTGTTTATCCCAAATTGCATACCTCTCATCCTTAGGCAGTTTTCAGAGTTAAATGATACAGGGCTCTCTGGCATGTCATTTCTGTTCAGTTCTGCTATAGACTAGTTTTTCTCTGATCGTAGCACATGGATTCTTTCAGAGGAAGTTTTTTGGGTTTTTTTTTTTTTGCATCTGTATGTGAAATTGTGGCTGCTCAATAAAATCTATCAGAATAAAGGCATTTTTCAGAGATAGTCCAAAAGAGATAGAGAAGAAGCACTGGTTATTATTTTTTTCTTCCCTTGGTTAGAACGCTAGACTTCTTGTATCAAGCTTGATGTTTGGTGACTGAGATGTGGACTAAAACTAAGCTTCAAATCTGTTCTGATCTGATGAGCTTCCCCTTAAGAAGTTCAGAGTCTTCGGATTCTGAAGATGCATGCCATACCTAAATATTCAAGTTAATTTGTGTTTGAAATAGCATGATTTTAAATTAAGTCTAAAAAGGTAACATGGTTCTAGAATGAGTGCCAAATTCTTCTGGTGGATCTGCAGGAAATGGAACAGCAAGAGGTTCAAGCAAAAGCAGAGGGGAAATAACTGTGTGCAGTGTTTTAACATTGGTGACCCTGATTACTGTTGAAAGTGTAGGTATGAAAGCATTCTACTGCTCATGAATAAGTTACCCAAGTAGAATAAGATGTGGTAATGAAAGTAAAGATCAAGTTAAACTCCAGCTTTCACTTTGAAAAATGCACTGCTGTATAACCTGTAGAAGAATCTAGGAATCTCTTAGAGACCACTTTTTCCTGTTGTGTTGGTGACAGACAGCAGACAAGGGAAGGAGTAACCAGGAAAACTAAGCAGCAAAGAAACTGGAGTCATAGAGTAGGGGCTGTTCTCTTTCCGTCTCTTCTCAGGTGCTATAATCCTTCAGCTAGGCACAAGACTCCTATCAACACCTCCTCTACATGGACATGTCTTTTGTAGTGTTTGGAGTCCTTGTCTTTTACATCTCTTTGGAATACAATAACATGGAGGCTCCAGGTGTAGACTTGTCTTGGGAGGAGCATTGTTTTACCACTGTGGTAAGAAAACAATACCCTTACAGTGAGTATGCAGCTTTCAGGGCTCTAACTCCACCACATTCACAGAGAATCATTGCAGTTATAGAGGATTATATTCATTTTTCAAATGACAATTTTCAGTCTTCAGTACCTTCAGAAAGACTTATTAAAACAAACCCCAAACAACCAAATTCCCTAAAATAGATTGCAAGAGAGAATAGGGCATGTAAAAAAAATAGCAAAAGGGGAAAAAACTGACTGTCGCTAATGTTATGTCAAGTGCTAAATTGACAAGTTCCAGTGTTTTACTTTTGATTCAAAGGGGGTGGTAGTTTAAATCAATGCTGTGCTTTGGAGAGTGAGATGAATCATAGGAAATTTCAGATCTAATGGCACGTGTTTCAGAGTGCTATGAAAATATGAAAACTTCTCCTAATGGAAAGTGTTATACTAGTGTAGCAATAGTAAATGTTATTGGTAAAGCAAATGTAATTACCTGTAATTAAAAATCTGAAATAATGCAACTTTAGATTTTTTTTTTTATATTGACCTACATTGTATTTCTCAAACTGTGAGCAGAGGCAAAAGCCACTTATCTTCTTTTATGGGAAAAATAAATGCAGTACATAATGATTAATTTCAAAATAAAGTGAACACCTAAAGCTGGTGCTTGACTACAGCTTTAAATACCAACTTGCAAATTGTCCGAACTGCATCGTACATGATAAAATCTTTGGATTACTTACTAAGACCTGGGAAAACACCTGATTTCCAATATTAGCCTTCTGAGAGAACATGAAAGTGTCTGTGCTAGATCAAGCTAAAGATCTGCTGATTTTGAGTGTAGCCATTAACAGTTGCCTGAGCAAGAAGTTGTGACAACGAAGTGCTGATCTGTGCCCTGACAGCTCTCCTACTTTCCAGCTGTTTGGCACATAGGAATGTTCTCAACTAGAAAGAGTCTTTAGTAGTGATATTCTCAAAGAGTCTATGGTTTTGCCCTGTCAATCTTGTCTTACTGTGTGGGGGCTCCTTGAAGGCTTCTATTATCTGCTATGGGCTAAAACAGAGTGCTGTGTTTTGATATGGAACATGGGGAAATGCAGCTCTTCTTCCTTTTTTTGGACTTGCACATGGCTTCTCTTTCAAACATATTGGTCTTACGTACAGGAAGTGTGCAAAGGTGAGTACTAATGGTCTCCTCCCACCATTCAGGTTTTTTTAAATACCTCTTAAATAAAATACAGACTTTTCTCTGGACCATCATTGTAGATCAAATAGTCCAAGGCTACTGAAATGTTCTGTGCATGGAAATGGTTCTGCAACTGTACATTTTCATTTTGTGGGAGGCAGAGCTGGTAAAACAAGTGTTGTATTTTTGTAGACATGGTGACAAAAAATGAAGTCCAAATATTTACCTCGCTTTATCTGTCTAAAGAAAAGCATCTTCTAGATGTTCAAACAAACCTTTTAGAATATGTATTATATTTTCATGTGTGTTATTTTTATACATTATGCTATACAAGAGAAATTGGAGAATGCTCTTAATCTGATATCCAATTTTGTCTATGGATATTTTCTTTTTATTTTAGGACATTTTTAATTGTGTGAGGACAACTTAATTTTGCAGAAGACAGAGTAAATAATAGTGCTTTCTTATGCCACTGGATATGTGCAAAGGGGGATTTTATCTATATTAGAAATACATTTACTGATGGTCTTAACCCTAAATAGAGAAGATAGTTTATTTACCCTGTTTGCTTTGCCTGTTAAAAGCAATATTACTCTGAGGCTATGCAAGGTCAGGGGCATGAGAGCTTGTAATGGGCTGTGTGATGGGAGCCACTTAATGAAGGTTTTTTTTAATGTAAGGGCTATTACCCTCCTAGTTACAAATGCATTTTGAAGAATGTCTAAATTACAGTGGACAATACTGATGTGCTGAGATGGACATCTTGTTTCTGATCTCTCAGATGGATAATGTACCTGGATTGGATGTGTGCTAATTTTTTAAAATTGATTTTATAAAAATTTGAGAAAACTAAATTAGCAGCAGTGAGGGAAGTCTTAGTTGCATTTGTCATCTAGCATGACTAAAGGAAAACAGATTAAATCTTTAAAGGTGTTCCCTAATATTTTAGAGTTTTGTAAATGCCAACTTTATTTGTTGCAATGAAGAGTATTGCTTAAATAATTTTTCACTTTAAAGAAATTGTATATAACCTTTTATGCTGCTCCATTGAATCTAAATTCATGACTCTGAAAAAAAAGGAAAAGAAACAAAACAATCCTGAAATTAAAGCATTAACATATTCTGGTTTAGGCTAGTATTTTGGGGGAAGCCTAAACAGCTATTCCAGAATGGAGAATGTATATGGTGAAAGGTATTGGAGAAGGAGAAGGAAGAAATATGTTGACAAAAAATCTTAGGCTGTATTTTCATGGTAGTTTTTTTGTGGTTTTTTGGTACAATGTCTGACTGCTCATTACCACATCCTGTCATACCCAGAAGCATTCTCATGTTTCTGCCTTCTCCTGGTTGTTTTGATATGCATGTGGTTGTGTACTTGTATGGATTGGAAATAAAAGAAAGTATGCAGCATGGGTAAGTTTGTTAACTCAGTCCACTGTGCATCTGTAAACTCGTGCAGCTGATGAGGACCACGTTAGCTGGTGGCTTGAGTGGGTACAGGGCTTGTGTAAACCTCTAGGGCTCCTGAAAGAA